CGAAATCTCATAACAACACGCTGTTGATCTGGTCAGCGTTTTCCTTATTACTGTTATCGTTTACTTCTGCATTTTTACGACATCCTACAATAAAACTGAAACATCTTTGGAATTCAGGATATAGGTCTTTTAAAAAAAAAAGTGTTTTACGGCGCTTGGAACTGCATAAAGTCATATGAGCGCACAGGACACATTAAACATTTTCAGTTGGTAGTTGATTTTGAATTTTGCCGGGTGGCGGCCGAAGCCTATTCCTATTGATTTTAGACTACCAAGGGATCTGTAAGGTATGCATCTTGCAGAAAATGGAGACGAAGGTAGACGACAGAACATTGCTAGAAAGCAGGAAAGGAGGTGAAAGGAGACATTTTTAGAGAAGAATATTTGTCCGTCGCCTCCCGGATACGAGCCCGGGTCCTTTGAGAGAGAGGTGAACACTTTGACCTCTAGGCCACGAGAGCCTCCAATCCCGCATAGAAAAGCATTCTGTGGAGAAACATCACATAACTGTAATGCCATCCAGGCACTAGCGATAGGATTTCGAGTGAGCCTCACAAATATTTATTGACTTTTTATCGGGAGAGAGTCTGAACACGGCCTAGAATTACATGAACATGCACTTTTTGTTATCAATTTGTAAACAATACGTATCACTGTTGCGTCCAACTGCAGCCGCAATGGACAGACTCGTAGAACCATGTCAAAGATAAAGCGTACAAAGGCTATTTTAAAGAAACGAGAAATCACGATTGGAGCATGGAACGTTAGGACCTGACTATGCTTGAACCAAAGATTCTCTTGTTTGAACAAGGAAAACTTGAGCTATTTTTAGAAGAATAAGAGTCACACTAGATAAACATATCAAGCGTGATTGGGACTTGGTGGATAAAGGAAGGTCATAAGATAGTCATATTTGATGTTTTACTGTCATCCCACCTGTTAGACAATTTAACTCATTATTGTTGGTGGAGCAGAGCACTATTAATAGGATAGATAGGTAGCTTGGATTTTTCCGACACTGTGCATTATTTTATCTATCTTGCGTAATGGTGTGCTGTAGCTCGTGAAGACTGTTGTTGCTTTTGGTCACAGTCACAGGAGAGGCTCTCTTGAGAAGTTAGCCCCTCAACTCCTACTCCCTCTGCAACATAAATATCAACAACCCCCCCCCCACCCTCCATCCCCGAGGCGGTGCTACAGACTGAAGTGTCTTTAGGCCATTCCCAAAGGGGGGACATTATCCTGTTCTTATACACAGTATATTCAAAGGCGTTCGATAAAGTTAGACATGATGAGCTATTTAAAATACTAGAAAAGCTAGACATAGATGGAAAAGATCTAAGAATTATCAGAAATTTGTACTGGGGCCAAAACGCTGCTGTACGAATTAATGGAGAATACAGTGAATATAAGCAGATTAGGCGAGGAGTGAGGCAAGG